CCAACACAGACACACTGCATCACCAGCACACACAATACATTCCTTACACACATTTCATCCCCTGTCTCATACAACATCCCAACACAGACACACTGCATCACGTGCACACACAATACATTCCCTACACACATTGCATCCCCTGTCTCACACAACATCCCAACACAGACACACTGCATCACGTGCACACACAATACATTCCCTACACACATTGCATCCCCTGTCTCACACAACATCCCAACACAGACACACTGCATCACCAGCACACACAATACATTCCCTACACACATTGCATCCCCCGTCTCATACTACATCCCAACACAGACACACTGCATCACCAGCAAACACAATACATTTCCTATCCCCTGTCTCATACAACATCCCAACACAGACACACTGCATCACGTGCACACACAATACATTCCCTACACACATTGCATCCCCCGTCTCATACAATATCCCAAGACAGACACACTGCATCACCAGCACTCACAATACATTCCTTACACACATTGCATCCCCCGTCTCATACAACATCCCAACACAGACACACTGCATCAGCAGCAAACACAATACATTCCCTATCCCCTGTCTCATACAACATCCCAACACAGACACACTGCATCACGTGCACACACAATACATTCCCTACACACATTGCATCCCCCGTCTCATACAACATCCCAACATAGACACACTGCATCACCAGCACACACAATACATTCCCTGTCCCCTGTCTCATACAACATCCCAACACAGACACACTGCATCACGTGCACACACAATACATTCCCTACACACATTGCATCCCCTGTCTCACACAACATCCCAACACAGACACACTGCATCACCAGCACACACAATACATTCCTTACACACATTGCATCCCCCATCTCATACAACATCCCAACACAGACACACTGCATCACCAGCACACACAATACATTCCTTACACACATTGCATCCTCCGTCTCATACAACATCCCAACACAGACACACTGCATCACCAGCACACACAATACATTCCTTACACACATTGCATCCCTGGTCTCATACTACATCCCAACACAGACACACTGCATCACCAGCAAACACAATACATTCCCTATCCCCTGTCTCATACAACATCCCAACTCAGACACACTGCATCACGTGCACACACAATACATTCCCTACACACATTGCATCCCCCGTCTCATACTACATCCCAACACAGACACACTGCATCACCAGCAAACACAATACATTTCCTATCCCCTGTCTCATACAACATCCCAACACAGACACACTGCATCACGTGCACACACAATACATTCCCTACACACATTGCATCCCCCGTCTCATACAATATCCCAAGACAGACACACTGCATCACCAGCACTCACAATACATTCCTTACACACATTGCATCCCCCGTCTCATACAACATCCCAACACAGACACACTGCATCAGCAGCAAACACAATACATTCCCTATCCCCTGTCTCATACAACATCCCAACACAGACACACTGCATCACGTGCACACACAATACATTCCCTACACACATTGCATCCCCCGTCTCATACAACATCCCAACACAGACACACTGCATCACCAGCTCACACAATGCATTCCCTACACACATTGCATCCCCTGTCTCATACAACATCCCAACACAGACACACTGCATCACCAGTACACACAATACATTCCCTACACACATTGCATCCCCTGTCTCATACATCCCAACACAGATGCACTGCATCAGCAGCACACACAATACATTCCCTACACACATTGCATCCTCCGTCTCATACATCCCAACTCAGATGCACTGCATCACCAGCACATACAATAAATTCCCTACACACATTGCATCCCCGTCTCATACAACATCACAACACAGACACACTGCATCACGCGCACACACAATACATTCCTTACACACATTGCATCCCCCGTCTCATACAACATCACAACACAGACACACTGCATCACCAGCACACACAATACATTCCCTACACACATTGCATCCCCTGTCTCATACATCCCAACACAGATGCACTGCATCAGCAGCACACACAATACATTCCCTACACACATTGCATCTCGCGTCTCATACATCCCAACTCAGATGCACTGCATCACCAGCACATACAATAAATTCCCTACACACATTGCATCCCCGTCTCATACAACATCCCAACACAGACACACTGCATCAGCAGCACACGCAATACATTCCCTACACACATTGCATCCCATATCATACCACATCCCAACACAGACACACTGCATCATCAGCACACACAATACATTCCTTACACACATTGCATCCCCCGTCTCATACAACATCCCAACACAGACACACTGCATCACCAGCTCACACAAAACATTCCCTATCCCCGTCTCATACAACATCCCAACACAGACACACTGCATCACGTGCACACACAATACATTCCCTACACACATTGCATCCCCCAACACAGACACACTGCATCACCAGCACACACAATACATTCCTTACACGCATTGCATCCCCCGTCTCATACAACATCACAACACAGACACACTGCATCAGCAGCACACACAATACATTCTCTACACACATTGCATCCCCCGTCTCATATTTCCCAACACAGATGCACTGCATCACCAGCACACACAATACATTTCTTACACACTACATCCCCTTCACACACAGTGTGCATTACCAGCAAAAGCAGCACATTACATCCCCTTCACACACTACCTCACATGTATACACACAAAGCGCTTCCCCTACACAAACACTGCATTCCCCACACATGCACTGCTTATTGGCATGATCTACAAGGTTATGTATTTAAAGGACCACTATAGGCACCCAGCTTAATGAAGTGGTCTAGGTACCTGGTCCAGCTAGGTTTAACCCTTTTTGCTGTAAACATAGCAGTTTCAGAGAAACTGCTATGTTTACTTTAGGGTTAATCCAGCCTCTAGTGGCTGTCTCATTGACAGCCGCTAGAGGCACTTCTCACTGTGATTTTCACAGTGAGAAGACGCCAGCGTCCATAGGAAAGCATTGAGAATGCTTTCCTATGTACTGGCTGAATGCGCGCGCGGCTCTTGCCGCGCATGCGCATTCAGCCAGGGACGTCAGAAGAGGGAGGAGAGTGTTAGGGTGCTGTGTATGTGTTAGGGTGCTGGGTGAGTGTTAGGGTGCTGTGTATGTGTTAGGGTGCTGGGTGAGTGTTAGGATGCTGTGTATGTGTTAGGGTGCTGGGTGAGCAGTAGGATGCTGTGTATGTGTTAGGGTGCTGGGTGAGAGTTAGGGTGCTGTGTATGTGTTAGGGTGCTGGGTGAGTGTTAGGGTGCTTTGTATGTGTTAGGGTGCTGTGTATGTGTTAGGGTGCTGTATGTGTTAGGGTGCTGGTGAGTGTTAGGGTGCTGGGTGAGTGTTAGGGTGCTGGTATGTGTGTTAGGGTGCTGGGTGAGTGTTAGGGTGCTGTGTATGTGTTAGGGTGCTGTGTTAGGGTGTGTGAGTGTTAGGGTGCTGTGTATGTGTTAGGGTGCTGGGTGAGTGTTAGGATGCTGGGTGAGCGTTAGGGAGCTGTGTGAGTGTTAGGGTGCTGGGTGAGTGTTAGGGTGCTGTGTATGTGTTAGGGTGCTGGGTGAGTGTTAGGGTGCTGGGTATGTGTTAGGGTGCTGGGTGAGTGTTAGGGTGCTGGGTGTGTGTTAGGGTGCTGGGTGTGTGTTAGTGAGTGTTAGGGTGCTGTGTTATGTGTTAGTGCTGTGTGAGTGAGGGTGATGTGTGTGTGTTAGGGTGCTGTGTGTGTGTTAGGGTGCTGGGTGAGTGTTAGGGTGCTGTGTGTGTTAGGGTGCTGTGTATGTGTTAGGGTGCTGGGTGAGTGTTAGGGTGCTGGGTGAGTGTTAGGGTGCTGGGTGAGTGTTAGGGTGCTGTGTATGTGTTAGGGTGCTAGGTGAGTGTTAGGGTGCTGGGTGAGTGTTAGGGTGCTTGGTGAGCGTTAGGGTGCTGTGTATGTGTTAGGGTGCTAGGTGAGTGTTAGGGTGCTGGGTGAGTGTTAGGGTGCTTGGTGAGCGTTAGGGTGCTGTGTATGTGTTAGGGTGCTGTGTATGTGTTAGGGTGCTGGGTGAGTGTTAGGGTGCTGTGTATGTGTTAGGGTGATGTGTGTGTTTGCAAGGATTGTGTATTGGGGGGAGGAAGGTAAATGACAATTTTGATTTTTTTTTATTATAATAAAAAAAATACATTATACCCCCACTCCCTTGGCCACACAGGTAAGAGGCAGGGAACAGGAATAAAATGAATGTAATTTTTCTTTGCCCATATAATGCAGCCCTTTTCCTACGCCACATATTTATACACACACACACACACAAAATAAACACTGCACCCCTTACACACTTACTGCATCTATTATACACACATACTCTGCATTCACTATGTTTTAGTGGGGTGGGGGAGCATTTCATCGTTGGACCCAGGCAGCACAATGTCATGGTCCAACCCTGGCTACGAGTCAATCAATACCATCGCTAACATGGATTGTCATATCTCCACTGGAGTGCAGGCTTTGGGTACCCAGGGACCCTTATTCTGTGTTAAATTATTTAAAAATGGTTTATCATTAAACACTGGGACAGCACCAGGGGACCACACGCACCATAATCACGTAATAAGATGAAAGAGTTATGGTGCCTAGGGTATCCCTTTAAATCAGTCAATTATTCTGCTGTAAATGAAAAAAGTACCAAAATCTGTATTGAATTAAAATGTAAAAGCAAACCTAGCTTGTTCACTGTCTACCCAGAGGAGCGTCTGGTGGCAGAATAGGAGGTGATTAGACACGGCTATCTTTGTGTTCTGATTAACTCACGAACTGTTCAATTCCCAAACAAACTGTTTTTTAATAAAACAAAAAAAACGAGCTAGAAAGGCATAAAATACAACATTTAAACATTTATTGAACTGTACACAAAACCGTAAGTGAAAAGAGTTACTTAATAAACAACTGCCACTTTTCCTCAAAAAAACTCCTCATTCCTTCACCCCGATTTCATGGAATGTTTCCGGATTGGAGGTAACTTTATAACTTCACGCCTGATGTTGCTCGGAATGTGAGCTTCATACCCTTAATGTTCTGTATAAAAAGTCAGAGCAAAGATGTAAAAGTGGGGTAATGATCAGAAACATTTTACTGGTTTCCATGGTGATTGTCCAACTTCTAGAACTTTGTCCCGGAATTGCTCCTCATCCTGTTTAATTCCTGTAGCTCAGTCAGAGTAACACTTTCCTGCTTAGTAAAATTTAGCCGGCACTATGTGTGATGACTTTCACCAGTGATAACCCACAATGCATACATTTCCCAGGGTTCCGTGGTTCCCCCTCTACAATCTTTTTGTTATTTTTTTCTTATACCGTTACAGTTGTACAGCATTAAATACCATCTGTGTGTAACGCTCATTTGTGGATTTGCTTTACCTAATTAGCCTTAACCGCAACACTGCATAGCTAAGTATTTGTAATTTGAAAATATTCAATAAAAATATTCAAGTAGAAAAAACAACACATTTTCCTGCTTAGCAGCAAATATCAGGACTGAATAGATTCTTTAGATTACATGCAGGAATTCCTGTGTGTGAACCTTTTTCCTGCTATTGTTATAAGAACACTTCATAATTTAATCTTTGATCCGTCTCTTAAAAATACATGGTTTTATCTGAAATGTTACTATTTTCATGTTACCCTTTTTACTTTGAAAACATCTTTGCTGCTGAAATAGTTTACATTAATACAAATGTTATGTTTGAGCATACCCGCTGCCCAAACACCAGTAAAATGCGTTGGGTTGCTCGTTCGTGCTGGTCCATATCTTGTATAACGCATTTGTGTATGTCATGGCGGTAGATAAAGGGAAGCCTAGCATTGTGCCTTCTATATTGGACAGAATTCATACTGGTAATGTGGAAATAAAAATTCTGCTTTACCAAGGAGGCTGGACAGGGTGCCGCGGAAGTCCCAGGTTGTGCCTTACCACTCCCAAAAGGTTTGAAAAAAAACAAACCTCAAAAGAGACCAGGAAAGGTGCTTGTAGACTTCTGTCAGTATTAGCACTATACTGAGCTGTGGTGGTTATGGTGTTTGGATTGTCCCTTTTAGGGTTGATTCCACGTGGACGTCCAATGAAGTGAGGGGGCATTCCCTAAGAAGGAACGTAAATAATATTTGGGGTTCAAGATGTGAACAGATTTGGATAATTAGTTGAACAGGAAAACTGTGCAGGGTTAAACTATAATGTATAGATTGATGTAGAGTTCTGTAGAGTGTTGTAGGTTACTCATTAATACTGAAGGTTTGACTGTTACATCTCCGTTTAGAAGTGTGAGCTGTAAGCCCAGAGTCAAGGTGTGTTCTCACAATAAACCTGTCATTGTTACCAGGGGCGGTTCCACTTCTCTGGGAAATTCCTTTAGATCGTGAACAGGTAACGGCTGTTTTGCGGAGGTACTCTGCAGTTTGCCTCGTCGTAAGGTTAGAGATTTATGTTTCGCCCCCAGGCTCAATACATCAACCTTTTCATGTCTTAAGTGCGGAAATGACGTATTGTTCAGGTTTCGGACGTGTTACTGGCATGTCTGATTTCAGGAATTAGTAGATGTCCACAATGTACAGAATCCATTTTATTTTCTATAATGTGACACCATCAGATTTTTTAACATTTCATTTTTATGACCTCGTTCACTTTTCTTTGGACTTCATGTTGGAAGAGGGGAGCGCCAACATTAAGTAAATATTGTGGGACACACGGCGTGGATGTGGATTCCTCTAAAAACGAGCTTGTTATTGTAATGTGATCATGTCACCATGCAGATTAAAGGGACACTATAGTCACCTGAACAACTTTAGCTTAAAGGACCACTCTAGGCACCCAGACCACTTCAGCTTAATGAAGTGGGCTGGGTGCCAGGTCCAGCTGGGATTAACCCATTTTTTCATAAACATAGCAGTGTCAGAGAAACTGCTATGTTTATGAATGGGTTAAGCCTTCCCCCATTCCCTCTAGTGGCTGTCTCATTGACAGCCACTAGAGGCGCTTGCGTGCTTCTCACTGTGATTTTCATAGTGAGAGCACGCAAGCGTCCATAGGAAAGCATTATGAATGCTTTCCTATGTGACTGGCTGAATGCGCGCGCAGCTCTTGCCGCGCGTGCGCATTCAGCCGACAGGGCGGAACGGAGGCGGAGAGGAGGAGGAGAGCTCTCCGGCTGGCGCTGGAAAAAGGTAAGTTTTACCCCTTTTCCCCTTTCCAGAGCCGGGCGGGAGGGGGACCCTGAGGGTGGGGGCACCCTCAGGGCACTATAGTGCCAGGAAAATGAGTATGTTTTCCTGGCACTATAGTGGTCCTTTAATGAAGCAGTTTTGGTGTATAGAACATGCCCCTGCAGCCTCACTGCCCAATCCTCTGCCATTTATGAGTTAAATCCCTTTGTTTATGAACCCTAGTCACACCTCCCTGCATGTGACTTGCACAGCCTTCCATAAATACTTCCTGTAAAGAGAGCCCTATTTAGGCTTTCTTTATTGCAAGTTCTGTTTAATTAAGATTTTCTTATCCCCTGCTATGTTAATAGCTTGCTAGACCCTGCAAGAGCCTCCTGTATGTGATTAAAGTTCAATTTAGAGATTGAGATACAATTATTTAAGGTAAATTACATCTGTTTGAAAGTAAAACCAGTTTTTTTTTTCATGCAGGCTCTGTCAATCATAGCCAGGGGAGATGTGGCTAGGGCTGCATAAACAGAAACAAAGTGATTTAACTCCTAAATGACAGTGAATTGAGCAGTGAAATTGCAGGGGAATGATCTATACACTAAAACTGCTTTATGTAGCTAAAGTAATTTAGGTGACTATAGTGTTCCTTTAATTGAAATGGATCAAATACCATACCAGGACCAAGTCAATTGTACACGTACTGATCAAAACAAAATTTAAACAAAACCTGGAATTTGACGATATGTCTGTTCACCCATAATTTACCTCTATCATATTAAGTGCACCCACACTTATTACATATTTTGTTCAGGAGAAACTTGGCTTTAATTTAATTTAAAATTTTAATATTTGAATTGAAACATAATTTAATATGAATTAAATTTAAAGAACTTTGAGAAATTAAGACATTTTATTTTTTAAGTTCAGCATGGCATTTTAACTGTGAATGTCATAATACTGTTAGTTTTTGCTGCAATAAAATACACATATTTGTGTTCAGCGATGTCTTACGAGTATAATAGTACCTCCCATGTACAGGTTTTATAGAGTATTGGAAAGTTACAGGGTGAAATATAGGGTTATCCCCTTTTTCATTTTTACACATTGATTTTTGCCAGATTGGTTTGCTGGTCCTATGCTGCCTTTGAGACTGTATGGTATTCCAGGAATGAGAAATACCCCCATCATAGCATACCATTTGCAAAAGTAGACAACCCAATGTATTTAAAATAGGGTATGCCCAGTCTTTTTTAGTAGCCACTTAGTTTCAAACCCTGGCCAAAATCTGCGTTCATGTTCGTTTTTCCATTTTTTACAAAAGAAAAATGCCCTTTCACTGATATCAATATCATTATAAGTTTTACTGCTCTAAAACACTCATATTTGTGTTTAACAAAGTCTTACGAGTACAACAGTACCCATTTGTACAGGTTTTTTGGGGTTTTGGAACGTTACGGGGACAAATATAGGGCTGTTCTCTTTGCCTGATTGGTTTACTGGAATTAGAATTACCACCAGCATGGCATACTATTCATAAAAGTAGACAACCCAAGGTATTCAGAATTGGATAAATCAGGTCTTTTGTAGTAGCCACTTAGTCACAAACCCCAGCCAAAGATATTTTTATAAAAACATTTTTTTGCATAACATCATCATCATTACAAGTTTTAGTGTTCTAAAACAAGTATAACAGTACCCCATATGTACAGCTTTTATAGTGTTTTGGAAAGTTACAGAGTTAAATCTAGGGCTTATAAATTAAATTCGCTGGACTTTCTGCCAGGGTTGTCAGGCAGGTCCCTTGAATTATAATTAATAAAATTACTTACTTATGTAAAAATAGTAGATAAATATACACGTTGGATATATATATATAGTTATATAGTCAATACAATGTTAAACAAAAATCTCCACACCAGTGAAGCCATAAGACTTGCTTTCCCCACAGAAATAATCATAAATCTGCAGTGATTCTGCAAAGGATTATGGGTGGGCATATGCAAATTAGTTCAACAAAGAATCATTTTAAACATGGATTCCTTTATTATTATATGTATTATATATTCTAAGTTAATTAAATCATCTGATTAATATATTATACATATATAATAAATATAATTTAATTCTAAGTGTATTTTGGTATTAATATATAGATTACTACCAAAATACACTTATTATTTAATTATATATGTAAATTATGCTAATCAGATGCTATAATTAATTTATAATATATTATACATGTATTATACATGTATAATATACTATGGTAATGTTTGATTGTAACTTTTATTTTTCAGGCATTAGGGGTACTACCTGAACACTCAGGCAGTCCCCCTGCAGGCAGTCTCATAGACTGCTTTGCGGCCATGCGATTTGCGAAGTCCGTCGCGATCACATGGCCATGGAGGGCCGAAATGGAAGCAGGGGGACTGCCTATCTCGAGAGGCAATCCCCCGGACCGGGTCGCCGTTCCAAGTAGGTTTGCAGGCACAGGAAGCTAACGATCGTTGGGGCGTACTATGCCGCCCTAATGGCGTTTAGTTTCACTAATTGCGAGGCAGCATAGTACGCCCTAATGGCGTTAAGGGGTTAAAGAAAAGATCATTTGTTGTTTCATTTTATATTTATGTCATCAATAATCTCAGAGTGATAAATTAAACATGCAGGTGTTGGGCCCCTGTTATATCTTACAGACTGTCACAGAATCCTTGCTGCTAACGGATTCTGCTTACCTTTCACAATAAGCAATTAACAGATTCCTTCTGATTTTCCACATTGTTTCCTCACAGTGAAACATACTGTATCATTTGTTGGCTATTATTTCGTCATGGTGATGAATGACCTGTGATGTACATTTTGTGTATTTGTATTTTGTCACGGTGATGTAACCTATGTTACCGCTTTCTGTGAACATTGCTCCACTGTACTGAAGTCATTACGTGACGTTACCCGCTCAAGGTAACCCTGAAGCAGCCTGCTTTACCGTTCCACAGAATTAAACCCACAACCTGCGCAGAAGAAGAATTTTTTTATTATGTTTATAAACTTTATCTGAAATATTAAAATCTATAAGGCGGTATAAGTGCAAAACCTACACCTATAAGTGGAGTGCTGAGATGATAGCGGGGTACACTTACCCCATATAACTTGATATCAAACTTAGTGTGCAGTACATGTGAAAAAAATAGAAAAGGCAATATAGTGCAGATGGTACATAAACATAAAATCAGATAAAATGTTTGTGAAGTGGAACACTCACATTTAAAGGAGCCTGTATGTGAACACTGGCTCCGTAATCAGGCTTGTATGCTTTTAAGGCAGCATCACACCTGCAATCCACGATATGATGTATCTCAAAGATAAACCATAGAGAGAAGGGAACAAATGTGCAGTCTGTCTCAATTAGTGCAGTGGTGAGAATAAGTAAAGTGCTCACCTTTTTCAAAGCCCTGTATCCTGGCTCTGAGGAGTAGTAGCTACGTGCCAAAATTTGTGGGGATGGCACTTCCCCTAAGTAGATTCAGTAGTCTCCAGATGACTATTTAAAAAAATTAATATCAACATATAAAATACTAAAGTATAAAAGTCCTGGATAAGCCGAAAACGCGTTTCACTCTTGTAGCTGTGGGTCTGGTCCTATGAATCTTTTGGGTTTTAAATGTCGTTTAGCCCTTCCCCTTTGGTCACATGGGTGTATAATTGTCCAATGGCAACGTCCTGGAAATGCCTATAATTATGATGATAGTGCAGCTAGGGTGGTAGTGTGTATTACTGGCCGATTTGGCACCATTTTTTTACTTCAATTTCATTGGTGGGCAGTAGTACTTGGCGGAAATATGTGAGCCGTCTGCTGTGGTTGGCGGAAGTGACATCACGGATATCCACGATTGTCACCCGCCCTTAACCACGCGGCGTCATGATTCCGCCAAAGCTGTCCTCCATCTAACCTGCAGGCGTATATTTGCCTGGGACGGGAGGAGAATTCATCTATCACTCACGATCGGGGAGGACTGGGAACGGCGCTACGCACACATATCGTGGATTGCAGATGTGATGCTGCCTTAAAAGCATATAAGCCTGATTACAGAGCCAGTGTTCACATACAGGCTCCTTTAAATGTGAGTGTTCCACTTCACAAACATTTTATCTGATTTTATCTTTATGTACCATCTGCACTATATTGCCTTTTCTATTTTTATTTCACAAGAACTACATACTAAGTTTGCTATAAGTGTACCCCATTATCTTCTCAGCGCTCCACTTATAGGTGTAGGTTTTGCACTTATACCGCTTTATAGATTTTGGACTACTTTAGGTGTGGATAAGAGGGTATTTTCACACAAGTGTTTTTGAGCGGTTGTAATTTATTATTTTATTTTTAGCACCTTATTGGACACACATTCCTCCCGAATAGGAGGTACACCTCATTTATCTGTAATAGACAACGAAGATGTGTCGGCACCTAAGTATCCGATTATTCCCTAGTTTACACAATCCCTATTGCAATAAATATATAGTCTAATCTATGAAAATAAATGGCATGTAAGATGGGGAAAAACATGATAATACAGTGTGCAGGAGATGTAAATCTACAAAATGAATTAACATATGCTCACTATTGTTGACAAATATTAAAGTAATGCTCCAAGGACCATAACCACTACAGACACTGTAATGTTTATGGTGCCAGAAATGCCCCACTAAACTAAATAGTCAAACTGTTTGGAAATGGTTTGACAACATGCCTGGGGTCGACCTGATGCTGGTTACATCTTCCAGTGAAAGCCGGGGGCTACTGCGTGGAGCGTCCATTAGCTCTCCTGAGCTAAAGACCCATGTAGGGTTATCTGATCACAGTCAGCCAATGAGCTACGTTATGCACTGCCAGGCTTAGCTCTCATGGAGGAGGTGACGAGCTCTGTGCGAAAAAGTGTGAAAAACTGAGCAAAAGTTTGACTGCTTGCATTGGGGAGGTGGATCCAGGGCACTCCTCACACCATAACCACTACAACGTGCTGTAGTGATTATGGTGCTTGGACTTTTACGTTAAACAATGTGTTATCGAGGCATACTGACATAATGATACATTTAAACCGTAATTTTAAGAACACAAGAAATGGATCGTGGTGGCCAAGGTGGGTGACACCATGTCGGCTCATAATTCCCTTTGATGTTTGCGGTTTGATCCTGCGTTTATCTTGCGTTTGTCATCCTCCTACTCACTAAAACACCTGTAAGTATCTTCGTTAAAGGATTACTCCAAGTGTTTTCTGAAGTGCTCTAGGATTAAATAGCCTGTCCCTGCAAGGCTTACTTTAGAAATGTGTCGAGTTCAAGAGAAAACAAGTTTGTCATCCCTTCCTGGTTGTCAGACAGATAGCTGGGAGCCTTTCCTAACTCGCTGGCTTTGAGATACAGCTCAAAGTGAAAGTGGGAGGCTGCCCTGATCTCTGAGCTTGTCATTCATACACATGTAATTACAGTGTTATACATCCTGTTACACTGGCCGGTCCCAAGCATGCGCGACTTGTCCACAAGGATTCTCAGTGAGAAGCTTCTGCTTGTACAATGCCCAGATGGAAAGGTATGTTCTGAACTAAGAGTGGAGAATTTACAATATCTGCAGAAACTAGATAAACAGATAATGTAAACTGCCTTTTTCATACCCCCATCCTCCCATAAATTGGCAAACATATTAAATGTATATATTTATTCATTTTTTGAGGGTATATCTGTGACCTATGGTTGTTGTTTTATTTTTCCTATAAGTCACATGTAGAAAAAAACAATACAACCAGCAGCATTAAAACCCAGAACCTCAACGTCCTGTCAGCTGTAGCAAGTTATCGTAACATGTTGTTGATAATGTGAGAGTTTCTGCCTCCTGTAGGGATATGGCACCATCATCACTGCACCTTCCAAGTACCTTCCATGCCCTAGTCTGACTCGGACGTGGCTGTGGTAGAAAGAAAACACTACTAGGTTGTTCACTAAGGCATGAAATTGTTAAAAGTACATTTTAAGTTTAGTTCACATTAGCAGAAATTTAAAAAGTCTAAATGTAGAAATAAGTCACAAAAGAAAATGGTGGGTAATTGAAAATTGAATGCCAAAACAGGCAAACTGGGAATATCTGTCAGTCAGCTATACCGCCATTTTCATTTTACATTTTTTATACATGTTTATTCTCCAACGTAAGAATGCAAAGTACCTTTCTTATTTGAGGCCGTAGTAGCTTAACTCGAAGCATAGCGGACATAGATCATTTTTCCATTTTAGCTATTTTGACCATATATTAGAAAATCTCACCTTAGTAAATAATGCCTTTTGTGAATAACGGTCTGTAAACGGAGGCTGCATACTGTCAGTCTACAAGCAGGGGAGGGGTACGGTGGGTGCACAGCTGTTCCATTTTAATATCTCCCCTTGCAGGTGCCTTGTGGTTACAGCTTTACTAGACTTGAGAATAATCGTTAGTAAAAATGCATCATAGTTGTATTATGACACAGCTGGCGGTACCTAAACCACAGAAACTGTTCATAAAAATAGAGAATTAGAAACTAAGAATGATAGAAATAGGAGGGAGGAAGCCCCTGGGGCATTAGCACGATGTCACCTGCCCAGTGAGCGGGCAACGTGCGATAGAAATTGATACAGGGTATAATAATGTATGAAAGAAACCAGTCACAGTCAAAAGTATTCCTAACGTATTACTGTCTTCGTCCCTAGTAATAGAGATCCCCTCCCATGTGTGCAATAAAAATAATAAAATAAGGGTTACTCACGGTTTCCAGTGACAAGACTTCCCCGCCATTGCGTACCTCTCCTCCTCCACTTATAGAGGAGCATTGGGGAACTGATGGGCATTCACGGGGAGCACCATGCGTACATCCACACTTCCTCTCAGCAAAGTATTTAATCACTGCCTTCCCATGGGGGCTTCTGTGTCATGTGACCACATTTAACTCTGCCAGTGTAAAGCCGCTAAAGGTGTGTTTAACCTTTTAAGGTAAACATTGCCGTTACAGTTTAAATTCCTGCAGTCACCAGAACAACTACAGCTTATTTTATTTGTTCTGAGTAGAATCATTCCCTTCAGGCTTTTTGCAGTAAACACTTTTTTTCCATAGAAAATGCAGTGTTTACATTACAGCCTAGGGATACCTCCACTGGCCACTCCTCAAATGGCTGCTAGATGTGCTTCCTGGGGCAGTGCTGCACAGTGTGACTGACATTCAGTGTCTCCACCCTCTGCATGGAGACACTGAACTTTCCTCATAGAGATGCATTGATTCAATGCATCTCTATGAGGAGATGCTGATTGGTCAGAGCTGTGTTTGACTTGTGCTGGCTCCACCCCTGATCTGCCTCTTTGACAGTTTCAGCCAATGCTATGGGTAAGCATTGTGATTGGCTCAGAGAATAACTTCTGATGATGTCAGTAGATATGGGCAGCTCAGATGCAAACCAGCAGCTACAGACTTGAATACAAGCAAGATTTTAATATATTTAGGGAGGCAAGTGGGGGCCAGATGGTGGTTTTAAAGGAAACTATAGTGCAAACTCATTTTCCTGGCACTATAGCTTCCCCCTTTGTCAAGCCCCCCTCCTCCCCATGGTGCAATAGGGGTTTATAACCCCTTCTGTCAATTTACTGAATTAGGAGCCGATGTCCCTCTGCTCCGTCCACGCTTCTACCTCGCTGATGTTGGAGACCTAATGCCCATGAGCGGCAATGGCCATGCTCGCATTAGGATTTCCTCATAGGAAATCATTGTTCAATGCTTTCCTATGGGGATTCCGGTGATGCTGGAAGTCCTCATGCATAGCGTGAGGATGTTTAGCGTTGTTTAGGCAACCAAAAGTCACCTTTAAGCCCGGAAGTCATTCTAGTGGCTGTCTGGTAGACAGCCACTAGAGGAGGAGTTAACCTTAGCTGGTAATTATTGCAGTTTATAAAAACTGACACTCTAGGGCAGGGGTGTCAAACATGCGGCCCCCCAGATGTTGCTGAACTACAACTCCCATGATTCTTTCAATGAAACAGATAGCCAGGGAATCATGGGAGTTGTAGTTTAGCAACATCTGGGGGGCCGCATGTTTGACACCCCTGCTCTAGGGTTAAGGGTGATGGGAGTTTACACCCAGACCACTTCAATGAGCTGAAGTGGTCTGGATGCCTGCAGTCTCCCTTTAACACTATTGGGTCAGGAATACATATTTGTGTTCCTGACCCTATAGTGTTCCATTTAAATCACTTTTGTTTCTGTTTATGCAGCCTTAGCCACATTTAAAGTATTTGCATGTTATATATTCACAAAATGGCTCTCAGACATTGTAGTAAAATAGAACTTATCTTTACTTCAGTACACACACTGTACTGTATGCTGCCATCTACTGGAAGGTGGACTGCATAACACCCCATACATAACACTCCTCCCCCTTAGACTTCAAAGTCTTTGAGATAAGTGGGAGGTTTACTATTTCGTCTTGGGTGCCCCAAAACCATGTTTGGAACTGCTTCACCTGGACCTTCAGTTGTGCCCATCCCTTCTTCCTGTGCTCTGTCAGATGGACCACACAGAACTGGCTCTTCAACAACAACTCCTGGAGAACTGAGACCTGTATCATCCAGTGGTTCAACATCATCTGGTACTACAGAAAACCCGGTATGACTGGGACCGGCAGCAGGCACAATCTCATCACTCCATTCCCGAATCTGATCAACATGCCTTCGTAATATTCTACCATCAGGAATTTGTACTTTGTATGACAAAGGTCTTGTGGCCACAAGTACTTTTTCAGGTATCCATTTAGGCCCAGAAACATAGTTCCTGACATAGACAGCACAAATAGTCAGGTGCAAATACTCTCACAGTAGAAGCATTATAGTTCTTATTGAATTGCAATTCTTGCTTCTCTTGTAACTCAGTTGTCAAATCAGGATGTAAATGATCCAGACAAGTTTTAAGACGCCGGTTCATAAGGAGCTCTGCTGGACTACTACCAGTGCTTGAGCAAGGTGTCACATTCCTTCTTTGTTGCAGAAGGAAATTTGCAAGTCTACGATTCCAATCTCCTTCAATAATTCTCTTTAATGAGTCTTTGGTAGTCTGAACCATAAGCTCAGCTTGACTATTTGATGATGGGTGAAATGGTGCAATCGTAACATGTCGAATAAGATTACTTGCCATGAAAATTTTGAATTCTGATGAGGTAAATTGTGTTCCATTATCAGACACAATTGTATCTGGCAACCCATGTGTAGCAAACATCCTCCTTAGAATCTTTATGACTGTGACTGAGGTAGCAGATGTAACTGAAACAACTTCTAACCATCTTGAAAAGGAGTCAACAACTAAAAAAAACATCTGTCCGTGAAAAGGGCCAGCAAAATCTATGTGTAAACGGGACCAAGGTGACCTAGTCACGGGACCAAGGTGACCTAGTCACTTCCCAAGGATGTACTGAGGCTTTAGGAGAAGCATCGCAGGTGAGGTTGAGCGGTTTCTCCAAATCATAGTGTACAAGCAAACTGCCAGAAGACAACAGGTTTTTAGCAGCACTGAAAGCGGTAGTATGAACATCAGTCCACTTCCATAGAGCATCTTTATCTAGTAGACGATGCAGAGGTTCAGCAACAGGGGCTTTATCAGGCAGAAAAGAATGGTAAAAATTAAGCAACCCTAGGAAAGATTGCAGTTCTTGTTTGTTTACTGGAACCGGAGCTCTATGGATAGCTTCAACCTTAGAATCAGTTGGATGAATGCCCTGTACGTCAACTCGGTAACCAATGAAATCCACGCAGCTTACACCAAAAACACACTTTTCTTTTTTAAGTTTTAGACCAGCATCAAGAAAACGTTGTAAAACAAGTTGTAGCTGTGCAGCCAATGACTGTATAGAATCTGCTCCAATAAGAACGTCATCAAAATAAGGCACTACACCTGGAAGTCCAGATAAGAGGTCCTCCATTAAATTCTGGAATATGCCAGGAGCAATGGAAACACCAAACGTCTTGCTCGGAAAGCCCTAAATGAACACTATCCAAGCAACCTACTTTTTTACCTTACCCTTACCTTTTTCTGTCACTATACCCCACTCCCTCTAGCATGTAAACTCACTGAGCAGGGCCCTCAATCCCTTTGTTACTGTGTCACTATACCCCACTCCCTCTAACATGTAAACTCACTGAGCAGGCCCTCAATCCCTCTGTTACTGTGTCACTATACCCCACTCCCTCTAACATGTAAACTCACTGAGCAGGGCCCTCAATCCCTCTGTTACTGTGTCACTATACCCCACTCCCTCTAACATGTAAACTCACTGAGCAGGCCCTCAATCCCTCTGTTACTGTGTCACTATACCCCACTCCCTCTAACATGTAAACTCACTGAGCAGGGCCCTCAATCCCTCTGTTACTGTGTCACTATACCCCACTCCCTCTAACATGTAAACTCACTGAGCAGGACCTCAATCCCTCTGTTACTGTGTCACTATACCCCACTCCCTCTAACATGTAAACTCACTGAGCAGGGCCCTCAATCCCTCTGTTACTGTGTCACTACACCCCACTCCCTCTAACATGTAAACTCACTGAGCAGGCCCTCAATCCCTCTGTTACTGTGTCACTATACCCCACTCCCTCTAACATGTAAACTCACTGAGCAGGCCCTCAATCCCTCTGTTACTGTCACTATACCCCACTCCCTCTAACATGTAAACTCACTGAGCAGGCCCTCAATCCCTCTGTTACTGTGTCACTATACCCCACTCCCTCTAACATGTAAACTCACTGAGCAGGGCCCTCAATCCCTCTGTTACTGTGTCACTATACCCCACTCCCTCTAACATGTAAACTCACTGAGCAGGGCCCTCAATCCCTCTGTTACTGTGTCACTATACCCCACTCCCTCTAACATGTAAACTCACTGAGCAGGGCCCTCAATCCCTCTGTTACTGTGTCACTATACCCCACTCCCTCTAACATGTAAACTCACTGAGCAGGCCCTCAATCCCTCTGTTACTGTGTCACTATACCCCACTCCCTCTAACATGTAAACTCACTGAGCAGGCCCTCAATCCCTCTGTTACTGTGTCACTATACCCCACTCCCTCTAACATGTAAGCTCATCCCTCTAGCATGTAAACTCACTGAGCAGGGCCCTCAATCCCTCTGTTACTGTGTCACTATACCCCACTCCCTCTAACATGTAAACTCACTGAGCAGGGCCCTCAATCCCTCTGTTACTGTGTCACTATACCCCACTCCCTCTAACATGTAAACTCACTGAGCAGGCCCTCAATCCCTCTGTTACTGTGTCACTATACCCCACTCCCTCTAACATGTAAACTCACTGAGCAGGGGCCTCAATCCCTCTGTTACTGTGTCACTATACCCCACTCCCTCTAACATGTAAACTCACTGAGCAGGGCCCTCAATCCCTCTGTTACTGTGTCACTATACCCACTCCCTCTCTCACTGAGCAGGCCCTCAATCCCACTCTGTACTGTGTCACTGTACCCCACTCCCTCCTAGCACATGTAAGCGCTCACTGAGCAGGGCCTCAATCCCTCTGTTACTGTGTCACTACACCCCACTCCCTCTAACATGTAAACTCACTGAGCAGGACCTCAATCCCTCTGTTACTGTGTCACTATACCCTACTCCCTCTAACATGTAAACTCACTGAGCAGGGCCCTCAATCCCTCTGTTACTGTGTCACTACACCCCACTCCCTCTAACATGTAAACTCACTGAGCAGGCCCTCAATCCCTCTGTTACTGTGTCACTACACCCCACTCCCTCTAGCATGTAAGCTCACTGAGCAGGGCCTCAATCCCTCTGTTACTGTGTCACTATACTCCACTCCCTCTAACATGTAAGCTCACTGAGCAGGGCCCTCAATCCCTCTGTTACTGTGTCACTATACCCCACTCCTAACATGTAAGCTCACTGAGCAGGGCACTCAATCCCTCTGTTACTGTGTCACTATACCCCACTCCCCTAGCATGTAATCTCATTGAGGAGGTCCCTCTGTTACTGTGTCACTATACCCCACTCCCTAACATGTAAAACTCACTGGAGTAGGCTCCCCTCAATCCTAATTGTTACTTGTGCCTAAGTACTCCCACTTCCCAGTATAAACTCACTGGAGAAATCTCAATTTGTTACTGTGTCACTATACCCCACTCCCTCTAACATGTAAACTCACTGGGCAGGGCCGTCAATCCCTCTGTTACTGTGTCACTATACCCCACTCCCTCTAACATGTAAACTCACTTAGCAGAACCTCAATCCCTATGTGACTGTGTCACTATACCCCACTCCCTCTAACATGTAAACTCACTGAGCAGGGCCCTCAATCCCTCTGTTACTGTGTCACTATACCCCACTCCCTCTAACATGTAAGCTCACTGAGCATGCCCTCAATCCCTCTGTTACTGTGTCACCATACCCCACTCCCTCTAACATGTAGCAGGGCCCTCAATCCCTTTGTTACTGTGTCACTATACCCCACTCCCTCTAGCATGTAAGCTCACTGAGCAGGCCCTCAATCCCTCTGTTACTGTGTCACTATACCCCACTCCCTCTAACATGTAAGCTCACTGAGCAGGGCCCTCAATCCCTCTGTTACTGTGTCACTATACCCCACTCCCTCTAACATGTAAGCTCACTGAGTAGGGCCCTCAATCCCTCTGTTACTGTGTCACTATACCCCACTCCCTCTAACATGTAAACTCACTGAGCAGGCCCTCAATCCCTGTTACTGTCACTATACCCCACTCCCTCTAACATGTAAACTCACTGAGCAGGGCCCTCAATCCCTCTGTTACTGTGTCACTATACCCCACTCCCTCTAACATGTAAGCTCACTGAGCAGAGCCCTCAATCCCTCTGTTACTGTCACTATATCCACTCCCTCTAACATGTAAGCTTACTGAGAAGGACCCTCAATCCCTATGTTACTGTGTCATTATACCCCACTCCCTCTAACATGTAAACTCACTGAGCAGGGCCCTCAATCCCTCTGTTACTGTCACTATACCCTACTCCCTCTAACATGTAAACTCACTGAGCAGGCCCTCAATCCCTCTGTTACTGTCACTATACCCCACCCTCTAACATGTAAACTCACTAAGCAGGGCACTCAATCCCCCTGTTACTGTGTCACTATACCCCACTCCCTCTAACATGTAAACTCACTGAGCAGGCCCCCAATCCCTCTGTTACTGTGTCACTATACCCCACTCCCTCTTAACATGTAAACTCACTGAGCAGGGCCCTCAATCCCTCTGTTACTGTGTCACTATACCCCACTCCCTCTAACATGTAAACTCACTGAGCAGGGTCCTTAATCCCTCTGTTACTGTGTCACCATACCCCACTCCCTCAACATGTAAGCTCACTGAGCAGGGCCTCAATCCCTCTGTTACTGTCACTATATCCCACTCCCTCTAACATGTAAACTCACTGAGCAGGCCCTCAATCCCTCTGTTACTGTCACTATACCCCACTCCCTCTAACATGTAAGCTCACTGAGCAGGGGCCTCAATCCCTCTGTTACTGTGTCACTATACCCCACTCCCTCTAACATGTAAGCTCACTGAGCAGGGGCCTCAATCCCTCTGTTACTGTCACTATACCCCACTCCCTCTAACATGTAAGCTCACTGAGCAGGCCCTCAACTTTCCAGAAAGCACACAATACTATACCCCACTCCCTCTAGCGTGTAAACTCACTGAGCAGGGCCCTCAATCCCTCTGTTACTGTGTCACTATACCCCACTCCCTCTAACATGTAAACTCACTGAGCAGAACCTCAATCCCTATGTTACTGTGTCACTATACCCCACTCCCTCTAACATGTAAACTCACTGAGCAGGGCCCTCAATCCCTCTGTTACTGTGTCACTATACCCCACTCCCTCTAACATGTAAGCTCACTGAGCATGCCCTCAATCCCTCTGTTACTGTGTCACCATACCCCACTCCCTCTAACATGTAGCAGGGCCCTCAATCCCTTTGTTACTGTGTCACTATACCCCACTCCCTCTAACATGTAAACTCACTGAGCAGGCCCTCAATCCCTCTGTTACTGTGTCACTATACCCCACTCCCTCTAACATGTAAACTCACTGAGCAGGGCCCTCAACCCCTTTGTTACTGTGTCACTATACCCCACTCCCTCTAACATGTAAACTCACTGAGTAGGGCCTCAATCCCTCTGTTACTGTGTCACTATACCCCACTCCCTCTAACATGTAAGCTCACTGAGCAGGGCCTCAATCCCTCTGTTACTGTGTCACTATACCGCACTCCCTCTAACATGTAAACTCACTGAGCAGGGCCCTCAATCCCTCTGTTACTGTGTCACTATACCCCACTCCCTCTAACATGTAAGCTCACTGAGCAGAGCCCTCAATCCCTCTGTTACTGTCACTATACCCCACTCCCTCTAACATGTAAGCTTACTGAGAAGGACCCTCAATCCCTATGTTACTGTGTCATTATACCCCACTCCCTCTAACATGTAAACTCACTGAGCAGGGCTCTCAATCCCTCTGTTACTGTGTCACTATACCCCACTCCCTCTAACATGTAAACTCACTGAGCAGGGCCTCAATCCCTCTGTTACTGTGTCACTATACCCCACTCCCTCTAGCATGTAAGCTCACTGAGTAGGACCCTCAACCCCTCTTTTACTGTCACTATACCCCACTCCCTCTAGCATGTAAACTCACTGAGCAGGCCCTCAATCCCTCTGTTACTGTGTCACTATACCCCACTCCCTCTAACATGTAAACTCACTGAGCAGGGCCTCAATCCCTCTGCTACTGTGTCACTATACCCCACTCCCTCTAACATGTAAACTCACTGAGCAGGGCCTCAATCCCTCTGTTACTGTGTCACTATACCCCACCCCCTCTAACATGTAAACTCACTGAGCAGGGCCCTCAATCCCTCTGTTACTGTGTCACTATACCCCACTCCCTCTAGCATGTAAACTCACTGAGCAGGCTCTCAATCCCTCTGTTACTGTGTCACTATACCCCACTCCCTCTAACATGTAAACTCACTGAGCAGGCCCTCAATCCCTCTGTTACTGTGTCACTATACCCCACTCCCTCTAACATGTAAACTCACTGAGCAGGGCCCTCAATCCCTCTGTTACTGTGTCACTATACCCGACTCCCTCTAACATGTAAGCTCACTGAGCAGGGGCCCTCAATCCCTCTGTTACTGTGTCACTATACCCCACTCCCTCTAACATGTAAACTCACTGAGCAGGGCCTCAATCCCTCTGTTACTGTCCCTATACCCCACTCCCTCTAGCATGTAAACTCACTGAGCAGGGCCTCAATCCCTCTGTTACTGTGTCACTATACCCCACTCCCTCTAACATGTAAACTCACTGAGCAGGGCCCTCAATCCCTCTGTTACTGTGTCACTATACCCCACTCCCTCTAACATGTAAACTCACTGAGCAAGGCCCTCAATCCCTCTGTTACTGTGTCACTATACCCCACTCCCTCTAACATGTAAACTCACTGAGCAGGGCCTCAATCCCTCTGTTACTGTCACTATACCCCACTCCCTCTAACATGTAAACTCACTGAGCAGGACCCTTAATCCCTATGTTACTGTGTCACTATACCCCACTCCCTCTAACATGTAAACTCACTGAGCAGGCCCTCAATCCCTCTGTTACTGTGTCACTATACCCCACTCCCTCTAACATGTAAACTCACTGAGCAGGCCCTCAATCCCTCTGTTACTGTGTCACTATACCCCACTCCCTCTAACATGTAAACTCACTGAGCAGGGCCCTCAATCCCTCTGTTAGTGTGTCACTATACCCCACTCCCTCTAACATGTAACTCACTGAGCAGGCCCTCAATCCCTCTGTTACTGTGTCACTATACCCCACTCCCTCTAACATGTAAACTCACTGAGCAGGGCCCTCAATCCCTCTGTTACTGTCACTATACCCCGCTCCCTCTAACATGTAAACTCACTGAGCAGGGCCTCAATCCCTCTGTTACTGTGTCACTATATTCCACTCCCTCTAACATGTAAGCTCTTTGAGCAGGGCCCTCAACCCCTCTGTTCCTGTGTGTCCAACTTGTCTGGTTACAAATACGTGTCTATTAGTCCACCCATTGTACAGCGCTTTGGAATTTGTTGGCGCATTATAAATACTATTAATCTCTAATCAAGTCAGACTTTCATAAGAGCATTACCATTGAGTTAGAATCTAACTCCTAACTTTGGCCCTCCAGGTGTTGTTGAACTATAACTCCCATGATTTTATGGCTATCAAGTTCATTCAAAGAATCATGGGAGTTGTAGTTCAACAACACCTGTTGGACCAGAGTTTGGAAAAGCCTAAATAAGATAGTAATGTCTATCCTGAAATCTGCCATGGTTGCCTGGAACAATCTGAAATGTACTGAGAGGGACATCTAGTGGACATGTTGTAAAATTGCCGTAGCAATAAAAATAACATTACAAACGTCATAACCACTAGAGCACCCTGTAGTGGTTATAGTGTTTGGAGTATTCTTCTAAAAAGTTAGGTTAAGCTCTATATCTTCTGCTTGCTTAAGTGGTTATGGTGCAAAGACTGCAGTTTCTTCTTGAAACGCTGCCAATACAGCGAGTGTAATGTCATATCCCTTAGCTGGCGCCAGTCACCATGGAAACAGACTTCTAGGCTGACCACGCAAAATGTGCGCAATTCTATTGTTTGCTGTCAGCTCGCACTGACTTTACACTCACAGACTCTGGATCGTGAGCATGACTGCTAGAGTGACCTACCTATGCTGTGCATGGCCTACCGGTGCTCTGTGTAAAATACCTGTGCTGTGCGCAACCTACCTGTGCTGTGTAACCTACCTGTTCTGTGTGACCTACCTCTGCTGTGTGCCACCTACTTGGACTTTGTGCAACCTACCTGTAGTGTATTACTCGCTGTGTATTACTTGCTCTGTGATACCTGCTGTGTTATCTGCTCTGTGATACTCGCTGTGAATTACTTGCTCTGTGATACCCGCTGTTATCTGCTTTGTGATACACGCTGTGTTATCTGCTCGGTATTACTCGCTGTGATACCCGTTCTTTATTACCCGCTGTGATTGTTACTCGCTCTGTATTACCCGTGGTGTGATTATTACTCGCTCTGTATTACCTGCTGTGTGATTGATACTCGCTCTGTATTACCCACTGTGTAATTGTTACCCCCTCTGTAATACCCGCTGTGTGATTGTTACCTGCTGTGTGATTGTTACCCGCTCTGTATTACCCGCTGTGTGATTGTTACCCGCTGTGTGATTCTTATCCACTCTGTATTACCCACTGTGTGATTGTTACCCGCTCTGTAATACCCGCTGTGTGATTGTTACCCGCTCTGTTTTACGCGTTGTGTAATTGTTACCTGCTCTGTATTACCCGCTGTGTGATTGTTACCTACTCTGTATTACCCGCTGTGTGATTGATACCCACTGTGTGATTGTTACCCGCTCTGTATTACAGGTGTTCTATCAAATTTCCCTACATCCCCTACCCTCATCACTTCCGGTGAGGGAAATCAGCTGGATCCTGTGCTGCACATGCATGCTAGCACTCCTGCTACGCCTCCACAGCAAGGTCCTGGAAGGTAAGTAACAAAGCAAGGTCCTGGAAGGTAAGTAAAGCTAGTTTTAAACTTTCATTATAGTTAGTGCATTCACTAAGCTTAAGACATGGGACATTTAGGGTTAATGATAGGGTTCAAATTAGGGTTAGGTTTAGGGACTTGCTTTGATTTAGTGATATTTCACACTAAGGGGATATCTATAAATTGTGATTCTTCACACTTTATTTTAACCCTTACCCAAAGGGTTAGGGTTAGAATAGAGAGTGAGAGAGGTTAAAATAACTTACCTAACCCCAATTTGAATCCTCACTTAACCCTAAATGTCCCTGGATGTGTTACTTGCCTTCCAGGACCTGGCTGTGTTACATTCCAAGACCTGGCTGTGTTACATTCCAGGACCTGGCTGTTACTTACCTTCCAGGGCCTGGCTGTGTTACTTACCTTCCAGGACCTGGCTGTGTTACTTACCTTCCAGGACCTGGCTGTGTTACTGGCTGTGTTACTTATCTTCCAGGACCTGGCTGTGTTACTTACCTTCCAGGACCTGGCTGTGTTACTGGCTGTGTTACTTACCTTCCAGAACCTGGCTGTGTTACTGGCTGTGTTACTTACCTTCCAGGACCTGGCTGTGTTACTGGCTGTGTTACTTACCTTCCAGGACCTGGCTGTGTTACTGGCAGTGTTACTGACCTTCCAGGACCTGGCTGTGTTACTGGCAGTGTTACTGACCTTCCAGGACCTGGCCGTGTTACTGGCTGTGTTACTGACCTTCCAGGACCTGGCTGTGTTACTGGCTGTGTTACTGACCTTCCAGGACCTGGCTGTGTTAGGACCTGGCTGGCTGTGTTACTGACCTTCCAGGACCTGGCTGTGTTACTGGCTGTGTTACTGACCTTCCAGGACCTGGCTGTGTTACTGGCTGTGTTACTGACCTTCCAGGACCTGGCTGTGTTACTGGCTGTGTTACTGACCTTCCAGGACCTGGCTGTGTTACTGGCTGTGTTACTGACCTTCCAGGACCTGGCTGTGTTACTGGCTGTGTTACTGACCTTCCAGGACCTGGCTGTGTTAATGGCTGTGTTACTGACCTTCCAGGACCTGGCTGTGTTACTGGCAGTGTTACTGACCTTCCAGGACCTGGCCGTGTTAATGGCTGTGTTATTTACCTTCCAGGACCTGGCTGTGATACTGGCTGTGTTACTGACCTTCCAGGACCTGGCTGTGTTACTGGCTGTGTTACTGACCTTCCAGGACCTCGCCGTGTTAATGGCTGTGTTATTGACCTTCCAGGACCTGGCTGTGTTACTGGGTGTGTTACTGACCTTCCAGGACCTGGCTGTGTTACTGGCTGTGTTACTG